CGCGCTTGAGGAGGAGAGCCCTGGGAGGGGGAGAACGGAGACGACGGAGACGACGAGTCGAACGGAGAAGCCCCTCACACACGCCGACAGTGTCGGCGGATTTTACACGACCCAAACACACCATAACCCTCCAAACCACTCGATAACATGATCCTGGCGATGAAGCCAACCCATGAACAATTGTGAGTACCGTGTTGTGGGTACCGCTTCCGGTGGAGGTTCCTACGGGGTCACGGCCTTCGTGAGGGGTGATCCGAATTTGGTGCGGCGGTGCCATGCGAACCTTGTCACTGGGGCCTTCGGTGGAGCTCCCTATGGGGCCACGATCCTCGTGAGGGGTGTGCCGCAATGTGTGCGGCGATGCCATGCGAACTCTGCCATTGAGGCCTCCCGTGGAGTCCCGGCGGCGGCGACATGCGAACCTTGCCACTGGGGCCCTCGGTGGATCTCCTTGTGAGGCCACGATCCTCGTGAGGGGTGTGCCGAGATGGGTGCGGCCGTGCTGTGGGAGCCCTGCCGCTGGGGCCTTCGGTGGAGCTCCCGACGGGGCCACGATCCTCCTATGGGGCAGCGATCCTTCTTGACCAGTGCTGGGCTGGTGCGGGCCTTTCCCACCAGTCTTAAGTCGGGCATGTCCCTGCACTAGAGAAATATATTCAACAATGGTAATACATAATATGGGGACGATGTTTTAATAGTTGTTCTATAATTTTTGTAAGTCTTGTTTTGACGCATTTTTTGTTTAAAATCCGCCTGTAAGGAGACATGCCCGACCTAAAACCAGTCCATCCGCGGGGGGGGGCACAGCGCACCAGTCCCAGGCCCATTGGGGCCACCTGCCCCCGCAGATACGTCGGCACTGGCGATGTTGCTTTGGCACAGGAAAATATTGAAAGCCGCGGTGGCAGACTGAAGGCGCTCCTCAGCGTGTCACCACTCACCAATCGGTGGCGAGCGAGGGGGGGCAGTGAGAAGGAGAAGGCCTTTTCAGAAGGCGCTGGGACTTCTAAGAAGCCCTCGCGCCTTCTGACAGGTTTTCCGTGTCTTCGGGGAAGGTTTGCAAAATTTCTGAGAAGTTTGGGGGACGTCCGTGCCTTCTGAGAAAGCCCGCCCCTTCTCATTTCCCCCCTGGGCTCGCCGCCAAAACAAATCACCCCAACCCAACCCGAAGGCCCCAATCTGCCCTCCGTTCCTAGTGTAGGGGAGGGGGGGGTCAGGAAACATTGAGAAAATACGCTTGGAACCCGTACTCTCCCTCACCCGAAATTCGGGTCTTCCGGTCAGGTTGGGGTGGTCTGGTAGGTAGTCAGTGTGGGACGGGGTCCAGGCCAGGGAGACGTCCCCAGGGCCGCGGGCGGCCAAAGAGCGAGCAGCACGGACCCACAGGTCCCCATTCTGGCCCCTGGGGGATTTCGCACGATCAGAGTGCCAGTCCGACATCAGACTCTTGCAGTCCGTACCATTAGCAAATCGGACCCCTCGAATTTTCCATCGCGAGACAGAAGGCCTGCAATTCAGTTCCAGGGGCCGTTTGCCTTCTCCCCGAGAGAATCTGAGCGACTCCGCATCGAGGCAGCCGTTGCAATGACGACATGGTTCTGGCACACCATGACCACCGCCGAGCCGCATCGCCTACGACGGGGTACAGTCGGGGCCCTGAAGAAGGAACCCTTTTTGTTGGGGAGGGACTCCGCGTTCCTTAAGTGTTGCACAGCTTGCCTCAGGTTTTCCTCATATTTTCGATCGGAAAATCGAAGTTTAACTCATGGAATAAAGGGGCGTCGTTCCTCATTTTGGGTTCCTTAGGTCAAGCCCCCGACTGTACGACGGGGCATCGCCTCCGAAAATGATCAAGGGAGGGCCTCCAGGATCCGAGCACAGATCGGCAACGGTCCCCGCTCCAAGAAAAAGCGGGCCGTGTGAGGACCCCCGACGGCACACCTCGCAGCCACGAGACCGGCGGGGCCTCGTGGCCCGCGAAGGCTCGGGGGATCAGGGCACCAGTTTTCACGAGGTCGTCGTGCCAACAGTTGGCTGGGCACGACCGCACTCGCTGCGCAAGGGTCTCTGGACCCCGCCTACAGCGCGGGCAGTGCTGCGAGCACTGATACCTCAGTATAGTTTGACCGACCCCCATCCCCATCCTCATCCTCTTCGAGACCCCCACCAAATTACCACCCTGGTTGGGGATACACCCCTCGAAACCCGATGGGAACGGCCTATATCCCCATCTCGGGGGGTAGATTGACCAGTAGGGCCCAGGCTACGCCGCTGGGGGTCGGATAAACGATGCTCAATACCCCGCTGCAGTCTGCCCATCACGCGCCCGCTGGCCGCCAAAGATGACGGCTAGGTCGACGGCCCCCTCGTCGAACTCCACCTCCCTGACGAAACGATTCTGCTCAATGCGCAATGTCGTCATGTTACCGTTAAGTCGGGCCTGTCCCTCTACAGGAGGAATATCCTACATGGTCGAAAAATAGTCTGGGGACGATTGTTCTACTATGTTTAAATATGTTTGACTATTTATAATTTTTCGTCCACAATCCGCCTGTAGGAGGACATGCCCGACCCAATGTTATCGCCGCCCGACAGGTCCTCCCGGGCCACGCTCCTGGCGGCCTGCTGCCATTGCAGGGCCTGGCAGTCCTGCGTGCACGTGCCCAGCACGTCCTCGAAGCGAGCGGGGATCGGCGTGGCGAACTTCTCGCCCCCAGAGCTCGGGAAGATCCCGTCGTCGATCGTGCCGTCTGCCAAAGGGCGGGGCCAGAACCTCGGCGACTGCGGGTCCTACCCCGCTTGGATGATCTACCCCTCCTAGATGGGGTCCGCGCAGATGCGGTCGGAGGATCGCGCCGCGTCGCCGATGCATCGACGATGCGGCTCGATGTGGAGCCGGATTCCTTCCAAGCCGACGTCGACGATGAATCGCCGATGTCGCCGATGCATCGTTGATGCATCGCCGATGCGGCGCGATCCTCCGACCCCATCTACTCCGAACCCATCGAGGAGGCCTCTACACGAGCGTCGCTTGCAGCGCAGCAATTCGGCCCTCGACCATCATGCCAGGGAACCGCAGTGCCCTGGCGAATCTTCGCCGGCACGCACGGCCAGGCCTTCACGATCCCAGGGCGCAGAGCTGGAGCCAGCCTAAGGGAACGAAGAATGGCATAAACATAAAAAAAATCGGAGGTCCGCGCGGATTTCTCGGATCCGCGCTTGAGCCCCCTCCCTGGCACGCGGAGCGCGCCAGGGGCGGCGCCGGAGGCGCCGCCAGGCGGCTCCAGCCCGGATCCGAGGAATCCGCGCGGACCTCCGAGTTTGTATGTTTCTGTCATGCTTCGCTCCCCTGTGGCTGAGCCAGGCGCCCCTCGCAGTGGGCGACCCACGCCTTGAGCATCTGCCTCCTCGGGTCACCACCGGGATCAGACACCCCGTACACCGCCTGCAGCACCGTCGTCAAGCAGCGGCCGCGCCTGAGCCCAGCGACGCTGGCCGCAGCGTCGCGGGCGCATCGCCGGGAGCGTCGAGGGCGGGGTGCCCATGAGTTGGTGGCCGGAGACGGCGGAGGGCGATACGCCCGCACTGAACAACCTCTCTGCGATGAACTCGCTGGAGGAGGGGGGGAAGGGGAGGTGAGGGACGGGGAGGGGCAGGAGGAGGAGGGGGAGGAGGGGCAGGAGGAGATGGAGAGGGGGGGGAGGAGGAGGGGGAGGAGGAGGAGGAGGAGGAGGAGGAGGAGGAGGAGGTGGAGGAGGAGGCGGAGGCAGCAGAGATCGGAAGGGGCACGAGAGGGATAGCGTGGAGGTGGAGGTGGGGAGAAGTAACGGGGACGCATCCGCTCTCTCAGTGTGCTTCGAGGAGTAGAGATCGAAGGAGGATGAAGAGAATGTGGAGGAGGGAGGAGGAAGTGGGGAGGGGGACAAGGGGGAGACGGGACAGTAAGAAGTGAGGAGAAACAGGAGGAGACGAGGAGGAGATAAGGACATCAGGACGCTGAGGAGCGCAGGGACGAATCTGACGCACCTGGCCTACCATCCCGGCGACCTGCCTAACCTGCCTGGCATGATTATGCCCAGCCTTAGTGTACCGCACTGCGCTGACTGGTCCCGCCCCCACTGTGAATCGGCGTGCTTGCCGATCAAGACCTTGGTACTATCATGCAGCACCTCGTGCTTCATTTTCGCCTCTCTCTTCCACGCAGCCCTGTCGTGCATCTGGCTTGGACTTCACTTCTCATGATGACCTTCCCCAGCCATGCTGCACCGCGCCCCCCTCCCTTGGGCTTTTCCTTCTCCGTCCCCTCTCTCCCTTCTGCCGTTTCTCTTGTCCGACTCCCGGTGTCCTTCCTCAATTCGTCCCGAGCCTGACCCTAACTTGATTCAGCCCTTCCGTGGCCCACCCACTGGAATGGCTCTGCCGCTCTAGCCCTGACCTGGCTCCAGGAAGCTCTCAGACCGCAGTCCCACCCCCGACCCCCGGACCTCGTCCAGGCCCACACACCCCCTCATTTCTGCGCCGACCTTGGCCCTGACTGCGACTCCAGCCTGACCCCCACCCTCGCCATCGCCCTGGACTCCATTCCGAGCCCCGCCCCGATCCCGACCCAGGCCCCATACCTGGATACCCACCCCGACCCGGGGACCCCCGGCCGCCGACCCGAGCCCTGCCCCACCACCCACGTTCCGCCCGCGCGCCACCCCGCCCGCGCCCACACCGCCAGCGCTCCGCAGCTTCGGTTTCCTATCGTGGCCGATCTGTTCTCCTCTTCACCGTCGGCCCACACTACGGCGCCCCGCCCTGCCCCTCCTCGTCCTCGCCGTGGATCTCTTCTTGCTCCCCCTCCTCCTCCTCCTCCCCCTCCTCCTCCTCCTCCTCCTCCTCCTCCTCCTCCTCCTCCTCCTCCTCCTCCTCCTCTCTCCAGCTGCTGCTGCTTGTCGTCGTCGTCGTTGAAGCCACCTCTGCCGCCGCCGCCGTCCTCCTCCTCCCCGCGGCTCCAGGCGGCAGAGGCGGAGGCGGCATGGGCGGGGCCTCCGGCGGCAACGGTGGCCAGGGCGGCAGGCGACCAGGACGGGGCATTCATCGCCGCCGTGGTCGTCGCCGGGCGTCGCCTCCGTCCTCCGCGATCTAGAAGAAGGGAGGGCAAAATGAGAGGAGCACTCGCCCCGAACGCCGCACGCCGGCGGGAGAAAGGGCAAGCAGGAGAGGAGGTGGGCAAGCCGATGGGCGCGAGGGAATGTGGGGAGGGGACGAGAGGGGGGTGGGGATGGGAGGGGAGTTGGGGCCGAGAAGAGCAGACCTGTTCCGAGGCCTGCGCTAATTCCTTGCATCTGCGCTGAGCCCCCCCGGCGCGCTCCGCGCGCCCGGGAGGGGGACGCCGAGCACGGATCCCAGGAATCCGCGCTGGTCTTCGGATGCTCCTGTTTATTTGCTTTTCGTGGATTTGCAGGCGAAGGTTGTGGACGGCCGCGAAATACCGTAGGGGCCTCCGGGCGCGGCGCGCGCCCACGGAGCGCTGGGCGCCGCGCGCGCGTGCGTCGCAGGCAGGCATGCCGAGCAGGCGTATCGGGCGTGGCGCGCACTGGGGGAGCGCAGCGACGCGCGCCCCCGCCGCCGTGTGCGATGGCAGGTGCACGGGGAAGTGTGCGGACCGCCCCGCGCGTGCGGCCGTGGGCCCGGGTGCTGCGCAGGCGACTACAACAGATTCTGGTAAGGAGCGCCGCGCGTGCCCGCCTGTGTCTCTTGCTGCCTTGGAGTGCTGGCATCCTTGGTCACCTGGCTCATGCCCGCAGGCGCCGCTGTTCTGTAGCATCCCGCAGGCACCCCGCGCACCCGCGCGGCCTTCGAGAGTCACAAGCTCTCTGCGGCGAGCCATATTCTTCGATTTGATATAAACGAGTATATTTTCGCTTGGCTCTAACATCGAGGAGAAGCTCCTCCATCCCACATCCTCGTCCTCATCCCCCCAGTCTTTTTCCTCCTGTCACCCCCCCCCCTCCCTCCAGAGGGATACGTCCTTCCCTCCCTTCCTCCTCGCAGTCCTCCTCCTCCCGTTTCCTCTCCGTCCCCTCCCACTGTCCTGCGCGAGGCGGCGTGCAGCGCATCGCCCAATCTGAGCCCGGCGTCGCCTTCCACTGTTGACTCTGCCGCCGCCCTCCGTCGCTCCCTTCCCCCGCCGCCCATCGCCCGCCACCCGCCGTTCGTTGCCCACCGGCCCTTCGGGGACAGGAGCGGTGCCCAGGCCTCCGAGCATTCTATGGCCCCCAGCGTGGGCGTTTGCTGGGAGCTTTTGGGGGCCATCCCGCCGCGGCGACGATTGGTCTCCAGGACGAGCAGCGGCGTCGGCAGACGCCGGTCATTGAAAGTTGGTATTTCGGATGCCCGGATCCAAATTTATTCATATGCGTTTTCGTACTTCAAGAAACGATCGGTCGCCCTTAGTCCTTCCTTTCTAAAAAAGGAAGGCTGAAACCCAATTTGTTTGCGGCGCTTCCCTACAGCAGGTTATTACCCAATCTTTCCGACCGATGTATATTTATTTCCTATTTCGATTTTTGTTTGAAGAGCAGCGGCATGGGTACCTGCCTACTTCCTCTGGGTCCTCGCTGCTTGCCAACCGCCCGCCGCTCGCCGTCAATCACCCTCATGTCGCCCGTCGGCCCGCCAGCCGCCCGCCCGCTTCGAGGAGGCCGCCGCCGCGGCCTCCTTCCACGGGGCGGAGCGGTGGGCGCCGCCGCGCGGCGGCGCGGGCGGGTGCCTTGCTGCAGGCGCGGCCTGGCGGCGTTGCGTCGCGGTGGTGCGCTGTGGCCTGTGGTCGTGGTTGTCGCCGTGGTTCAGGATCGGGACCAGGAGCATGTCCACCATTCCCCAAAGGGTGGTTGTACTGGGGGGTTCTTATTTTTGCCGTCAGGAACTGGGCTTGTGTGTCGGTCTGGCGGCCCCGCGCCGGCCGTCGCCGCCCCGTCACCGCCTCGTCGCCGCCCGTCGTCTGGGCCTGTCTGGCGTTCTGGCCGTCGTCGCCGCCGCCCCGCCCTAGATTGCACCGGATTCACCACAGAGTTTGCACCGCACTGATTGCACCACACAGATTGCACCACATAGATTGCACCAGATAGGGTGCACCGCATAAAGTGCATCACGCACACACACATTGCACAACCTACATTGCACCATGCAGATCACACGACACACGATGAATTGCACGGCGTAGACTACACAACGTGGGTTGCACCACGCACTTTGCATTACATACACGGTACCGCATAGTTTGCACCGCATACTCCGCGCAACATAGATCGCACACCATATATTACACAGCATATGTTGCACAATTTAAAGTGCACAGACCGGATTGCACCACGTAGCTTGCACCACGTAGTTTGCACCCTTACGGTTATACAACGTGGATTGCACCATTGCGAAACTCAATTGGACCACACCGATTGCACCACATATTTGGCACCACATGGGGTGCGCCACACTGATTGCACAACTTAGGTTGCATCATACAGGTGACAACGCACACGCCATGATTTGCTCCGTGTAGGTTGGGCAAAGTGGATTGCACCACATATATCGCATTACATCGACGGCACCACATAGTTTGCATCGCATATGTTGCACAATATACAGTGCACAAAGCTCATTGCACCGTCTAGTTCGCACCACGTAGACTGCACCACCCAGGCTGCACAACAAAGATGACACCACGTCTGGTACACAACAGGTGTTGCTTGACTCACACTGCTAGGGGTCCTTCTGGCAAATGGCAACACAAACTCTTGCTGTATGTGTTTTCCTGTCGCCCGGAGGACTGGCGAGAACATTACAGACTATGTGTTAACACGTGGCGTTCCTGCGAAGGTCAACTGGACAGGGCCCAGATACCTTGGTGTATATAGGTGTATATACGCACGGTTCCCAATGAGGGGGGGAATGTGTGCTGCTGGTGCTGCCTTTCATCGATTTCGGCGTGTTCGGCCTCATGGGAGACCCTCGTCGTCACGGCCAGGTTCGCCTCGACATTTTGGTCAGAATGCAGCCAAAGAGTCGTCTCACCTCTTGATCATCCCATTGGCGGCTGTTCTCTCCGTCGTTGTCGCTGTTGTCGTCGTCGTCGTGATCGTGGTCGTGGTCGTCGCTGCCGTGGCCTGTCGTTTTGGTCGGTCGTCGCTCACCGATCGAATTCGAGGTGGCCGTCTCTTGATTCGGAGGTGGTGCACATCGTGTTTTATTTGCCCGTGTCTTGATTGTCCCTAGTGGTGCTGCGAGCGGGCCTCATCGTACTTGGAGCAGGCTGGGCGTTGGATAGAATGGGCGACGTTGCGCGCACTTATCTTCAGGGTCGCGCGGTGGAGGATCGATATAGGGGTGCATGTTGAATTAAGAAAAAGCCGGATGAGGAAACACATGAAATTTCAACGCACATTACATATATATGTACACATAGTATGAGTATATATATACACACATATATATATATATGTTGGCCTCTCTCTCTATATATATAGATGGTTGCCCCCAGCTCTGATATTATATATAAACTATGGAATCGCGTTTATGTTCATATTTGCAGTCCCATCTTTTCCAAATCTATTATCATCAGGGTGAGGGGGCCGAACGGTCATTCATTGTCGCTGGGTGAGTGGCTGAAGTGGGGACCCGTGGTGAGGATTATGTGTGTTGCGTTGTTGTCGTTGTTGGTGTTGTTGTTGTTGTTGTTGTTGTTGTTAATGTTGTTGTTGTTTGTTGTCGTCGTCCCACCCGCGACCCACCCGCGTTTCCACCCGCGACCCACCCCGCGACCCACCCGCGACCCACCCCGCGACCCACCCCGCGACCCACCCGCGACCCACCCGCGAACCCACCCGCGACCCACCCCGCGACCCACTCCGCGACCCACCCGCGACCCACCCCATGACCCACCCGCAACCCTTGCGCGACCCACTTCCGACCCACCCGCGACCAACCCCGCGACCCATTTGCGACCCACCCGCGATTCACCCGCGGCCTACCCACATTGGTTTCACTAAAAAATTAGAGCCTGTTGCGGGCTCGTTGTATAATTTGTGAATCTTCGGTGCTTGCGGCGGGCTTCTCCAGAGATTCGCGAATTGCCGACGTCCCCACCGCCCCCTCACTCTTATCCGCATCTGCGGGGTGCTACGTAATGTCTGCGCATCTTCCATCTCCCCATTGATCTTGCTCCCTTCCGTCTGCCACCACTTTCTCTTGGCGCTGAACCCTTCGGGTCTCGTGCTATTGGCTCTGAACCCTTCGGGGCTCGTTCCAGGGAAGCTTCGAGCGCAGAACCTTCATCACAACCAACCCCCCTTGATCCCTACTGGACCGTGACGGTACAAACGTGTTCGTTGTTCGTGGTGGCATTGATGGTGTTGGGAATGGTGGCGTTAGCCGTAGTAGTAGCAACGGAGAGGTTACTAGCAGTAGTAGTAGTAGTAGTAGTAGTAGACGGAAAAGAAGAGTAGTAGTAATAGCAGTACTAGTAGTAGTAGTAGTAGTAGTAGTCGTCGTCGTCGTCGTAGTCGTAGTCGTAGTCGTAGTGGTAGTAGTAGTAGTAGTAGTAGTAGTAGTAGTAGTAGACAGAAAAGAAGAGTAGTAGTAATAGCAGTACTAGGAGTAGTAGTAGCAGTAGTAGTAGCAGTAGTAGTAGTAGTCGTAGTAGTAGTAGTAGTCGTCGTCGTCGTCGTCGTCGTCGTCGTCGTCGTCGTCGTCGTCGTCGTCGTCGTCGTCGTCGTCGTCGTCGTCGTCGTCGTCGTCGTCGTCGTCGTCGTCGTCGTAGTCGTAGTCGTAGTCGTAGTAGTAGTAGTAGTAGTAGTAGTAGTAGTAGTAGTCGGAGTCGTAGTAGTAGTAGTAGTAGTAGTAGTAGTAGCCGTAGTAGTAGTAGTAGTAGTAGTAGTAGTAGCAGCAGTAGCAGTAGCAGTAGCAGATGCAGTAGCAGTAGCAGTAGCAGCAGCAGCAGTAGCAGCAGTAGTAGTAGTAGTAGTAGCCATAATAATACAAGTAGTCGCAGTCGTAGTCGTAGCCGCAGTGATCGTAGAAGTCGTAGTAAGTGTAATAGAAACCGTGCGAGTGGGCATACGAGTAGTGATACTAGTAGTGATCGCCGCCGTCGTCGCAGGAGTAGTAGTAATATCCGCTGTACTAGTCGCAATCGTAGCGGTAATACGGGGAGCGGCCGAATTTGTAGCAATAGTAGTGCTAGTAGTAGTAGTGGTAGTAGTAGTAGTAGTAGTAGTAGCCGTAGTAGTAGCAGTCGTAGTAGTAGTAGTAGTAGTAGTAGTAGTAGTAGTAGAAGTAGTAGTAGTAGTAGTAGTAGTAGTAGTAGCAGTCGTAGTCGTGGTAGTCGTCGTCGCCGTAGTAGTAGCCTTAGTAGAAGTAGAAGAAGTAGTAGTAGTAGTAGTAGTAGTAGCAGTAGTAGTAGTAGTAGTCGTCGTCGTCGTAGTAGTAGTAGTAGTAGAAGTAGTAGTAGTAGTAGTAGTAGTCGTAGTAGTACTACTAGTAGTAGCAGCAGCAGTAGAAGTAGTAGTAGTAGTAGTAGTAGTAGTAGTAGTAGCAGTAGTAGCAGTAGTAGTAGTAGTAGTAGTAGCAGTAGTAGTATTAATAGTAGCCGTAGTAGTAGAAACCGTCGTGGTAGTCTTAGTACTCGCCGTCGTAGAAGCGCGAGTTATTGTCGTAATTGTGGTAGCCGTAGTAGCAGTAGGCGCAGTAATAGTAGTAGTAGTAGTAGTAGTAGTAGTCGTAGTAGTGGTAACAGTCGTAGTCGCAGTATTCGTAGTAGTAGTAGTAGCAGCAGCAGCAGTCGCAATAGTAGTACCCGTAGAAGAAGTAGTAGTCGCAGTAGTTGTCGTAGCAGCAGTAGTAGGAGTAGTGGTAGCACTAGTACGTAGTCGTAGTAATAGAACGAACAGCGTCCCAATGTGTGAGTACTTGTATAAGTCGTTGCCGTAGTAGTAGTAGCAGTAGTACTAGTAGTAGTAGTAGTAGTAGTAGTAGTAGTAGTAGTAGTAGTAGTAGTAGTGGTAGCAGTAATAATAGCTGCAGCAGTAGTAGTAGTAGTAGTAGTCGTAGTAGTAGTAGTAGTAGTAGTAGTAGTAGTAGTAGTAGTAGTAGGAGCGGTAGTAGTAGCAGTAGCAGTAGCAGTAGTAGTAGTAGTCGTCGTCGCCGTCGTCGACGTGGCAGTAGTAGTAGTAGAGGTAGTAGTAGTAGTAGTAGTAGTAGCCGTACTAGTAGCATTCATAGTCGTAGTCGTAGTAGTAGTAGTAGTAGTAGTAGTAGTAGTAGTAGTCGTAGTAGTCGTAGTAGTAGTAGTAGCCGCAATCGTAGAAGCAGTAGCAGCAGTAGTAGTAGTAGTAGTAGTAGTAGTAGAAGTAGAAGTAGTAGTAGTAGCCGCAGAAGCAGCATTAGTAGTAGTAGTCGTAGTAGTAGTAGTAGTCGTCGTCGTAGTAGTAGTAGTTGTGGCAGTAGTAGTAGTAGTCGTAGTAGCACTCGTCGTAGTAGTAGCGGTAATAGACGTAGTCGTAGTCGTAGCCGTGGTAATCGTAGTAGTAGAAGTAGTAGTGGTAGTAGTAGTAGTAGTAGTAGTAGTAGTAGTAGCAGCAGTAGTAGTAGTAGTAGTAGTAGTAGTAGTAGCAGTCGTAGTAGTAGTGGCAGTAGTAGCAGTAGTAGTTGCAGTAGTAATCGTTTTGGTAGCAGTAGTAGTCGTAGTTGCAATCGTAGTAACAGTTGCAGTCTCAGCAGTAGTAGC